AATAAAAGTCACAGTCATGCTCCTTTACTACTATATCTGTGTCAAAATAAGTTCTTCTTTGCCTTGAAAACTAACCATAACAACTTTTCTTTTCCATTCATATTTAAATTCGGTCATGAGAAACAAATATATGAGACACTTTGCATCTTGTAATAAGAAATATATGAACAATGTATTTTTCGTAAGGCTGGCAGAGGAGCAAGACCCCTGGGAAGTGGTTGGCCTGGAGCTGGGGATATCCAGAATCTGTTGCTTTTGGAAAGGGAAGACCAGCAGGATGCTTTGATTAACCTCAGCCTAGGTTTAGTGCTGTAGCTATTACAACTCATATTCTCCTTGAAAGTGCTTGCTAAGCCCTACTTTTTACCCAGAGATAGCTATTTGTACATCTTAGCTAGGGGTACATAGCAAGTCACTCAGCATGCAGAACAACTACTCCCCTGGGGAATTCTTGCCTGCAGTTAGGTGCTTCTCAAGATTTATCTATTATCTTAGAAGTATTTTCAATACAATTAGTCTATCAAGTTTCCTAAGGACCTTTCAAGCACCATTCTACCCCTCCCAGTTTATGGGATGTTTACAGCCATCAGTGCAATGGGAGCATCCTTTGCTATGATGATAAAGTCTGTGTTATTGCTATTGCTTCAAATTCCTTGAGGGAGCCACAGATCAAAAGCTGTTACTCCCTGCCAGCCCAATATGTCAAGGCAATGGTAACTGTACCATTACAGTGGATTTTCTGCTATGTCATGACTTATGTCAGTGCAATGATGCTTTTTGTGAGGAGCCCACTATATAGAAATACAGATCTTGAACAGGTCTGTTACAGATCTTGAACTGACTACCCTTTAAATAGTGGCATGGTCAAGTTGAAGTCTGTTCAAAAGGAAATGTACAACATGAGTTTGCTTACTTATTTAAATAATTATTACTTATTTAAATAATATTACTTATTTAAATAATTATTGACCCATATAGAGTGAAGGGTTATGGAAATCTGCTACTTGATATTTGTCTGTTTTTTTTAGATTCTGTGCTAAAGCTGGACACTAATAATACTTATACACTGGTTTGCTTAGGAGTGCTTATATTATAAACTACAGTCCTTGCCTGAAATCAGCAGCTGGAAATTTTGCCAAAGATGATCTGATTAGAGTCAGAAGGGAAAAAAAGAAATGTTGAGTTATAGAAATTTTAATTTCAGATTGTATAAGGCAAATAACATAACTTCTTATGTTATAATATACCTTGCTTTTCTACAGGAAAAAAGCACCACTTAGATGTAAACAAAATCAAGTGGGACAGTATTTCCAGGAGGGAGGGCTTATTTATTTACCTGAAGGTATGTTAAGACTACAGCTTCCTGGTGGAAGCCACATGAAAAATGCCAAAACAAACAACAAACCTCACCACACTCTTCAGTTCAGGTCAAAAATTAAACTTGCGTCAGCCCCAAGTCTGCTTTCTAAATGGCCTTTCTGAACATAAATCTCAAAGCACGAATTTTCCCGTCAATTTTACAAAACTCTTTTCTTCAGAATAATGATGACAGTTTCTGGTTTATATGGTATGATGCTTTGGCTGGGTTGGTATTTGTTTGCAAAACCTTACTTTAATTTGTGAGAACTGCTGAAGCAAACCTATCCTCTCAGATCTCAGTCAGAGACCTGACTCCTTGTGCTCTTACACAAACTTGAATTCTTCAATTTGTTCCTCAGTAGCTTAAGAAACCTGAAGTGCTCTTCTTGTCCAAACTTCTTCCTTAAGTATTTTTCTGTTTATCTTGCTTCATCATACTTGAGGCTTTTAAAAAAAGAGACATCAGGTTGTACTTGTAGACTGCAGTCAAAACTGGTTCCAGATCTTTCAGAGGCAAGGGGTAAAGACAAAGATGGGTATGCAACCAAGCATAGCAATTTGTCTGATATTTATTAATCTCACCTCAATATACAATTAAGTAATTAGTTCAATTAATTGGACCAATTTTAATAACTTTTGAGGGCTGCAAAATAAGGAGTGTACCAAATTGCTATTACATTAACTGCTAATGCAACAAATGCAGCTGTAATTCCCTTTATAGTTGCTAAACACTGACCACACTCTGGTTTTCACCAGGATATGACTGGCTGAAATCTGCCACTTTTTTTGTTTCTCAGGTAGACTCAGTTCAGGAAAAATAGGGGGGGAAAAATCCTGAGCTTTATAAGACAGATCTGAATACAGAATACAAGTGACAGTAGCATAGAAGAATTCTCAGCAGAGTGAACTGTGCATTTGTTTTTGCAATGAGTTTGATGGATCCCCTCATTTTCATACTTATTTTTGAACACAGCAGCAACTGAACTTTTTTTGGCAAGGATCCAGTTACCTGGTGCTTTTTCCTCCTTAATCCATGCCTCAGCTGAGGCACATCTTGAAAATTCAGGATACCAGAGAATGCAAGGCTGGTTTTTCATATGGCAAATGCTGCATCTGTGCTGTACAACCTAGTCCCTAGCCAGGAGGCAACCATTTCTTGTGCTGAGTCACAGCCTGCAAAGTTAGGCTTTAAGTACCTGGGGCAGAATGGGGCCCTGGCTATTGGTCTTGTTGAACAGTGTAAGGCTGTTTACTCCAAAGCCCTGTTGCTACCTTTAATTCAGAATGATTTGCCTGTGGGAGAATACTTTGTCTGGAAATACCATGAGTAACTATGAGAAATACTATTGCTTCAAAAAGGAGGAGGTGGTTATCAGTTACATGATCTCCAGACAATTTCCTTAGCAGCATTACATTTTTATACATACAAGAAACCTTTACGCTAGTTGGCAAACCTCTTAATTGCATGTTGTCTGTAATGTGGATGTCAGCGGTGGTAGATGGCACCATTCCATTGGTGCCTGAACTAGGATTCAGGGAGCCTTCCAGAGCAGAAGTTTAGTATCCTGGCATAAGATGTAATAGCACTTACAGATGTGCATCCAACTATTTCTTTGTAGGTGTATGTTTTCCTGGTCAATTAGCACAGTGCATTCCAGTTCCCATCCTCTAACTAACTGGGTTTCTACAGAAGTCTGAAATTCAAAGAACTCTTAGGCCAGCATAAATTTTACACAGCTGATTTCACAAATCTGAGAGCAGCAGCCCCCACATTTAACTAAACTTCTTATCTGCTTTGGAATTTCTTCCAGGATCAATCATAGAGGCTGCTGGAAAAAGCCATTATGCAGAGAAAAAGAAAAATCTTAATTAACCCTTGGTAAACCTGCTAGCAAATTTTTGCATCACAGAAAGGGAAACAAAGACAACCTATGGTTAAATAACTTAACCACCATTTGATAATGCAGCAGATACAGTTACAAACTGTATAGTTTAGGATTCCTAGGGTGCCTCTGCTCCCACTGTTTTGGTGGTAATGGTGCTGCAGCTGGGCTTACACTGTAGTGAACAAGTACTGTACACATAAAGCTTCACTGGGAGGTTCATGATGTGAGTGCTGAAGAAAAGCATGGGAAGAGTTTTGCTGCACTGTTTCTTGCGCTGGCTCAGACACTGGGAACATCAACAACATTCAAAGAGAGGCACAATGCTTTTACCTTGTCTGATAGATCTGCTATTAGAACATCTTGTCCTGGGATATAAATGCCTCTGTAGCCTTTAACTAACTGATTATGCTTTGTCTTTTTAATTTGTCTTAAAAATAAGTATGCAAGATTCTACATAAAATTATACTTTACTTATATTCTCAACTTTGTTTCAGGACATTAGTGAGTGTGCATACATGTGAATATGTATGAAAGGCCTATGCAGAGCTTTCCTCAGGTCATCTGAATTCTTAATCTCACTTTTACCCTCTACCCTGCTTCCCTGAGAATTATAGTGGGAGAGAAATAAGCTATACCACATGTCAACAGGCTTAAGCTCTTATAAAGAAAAGGTTTCCAAAGTCAGTCATGCCTAACTGAAAACAGTACATTTCCACTGTGGATAGTTTACCAGTGTTTTCTAGGTTTGAGCACCACAGAAGGGTTCAGATGCCACTTGGAGAACAGTGGTGCTTGAGTGTTTGTTGTTCAAGTCACTGCAAACAGCAGAAACCAAATTTAACTGGACCCTACAAGAATTTGGTAGCCTGCTGGCTGGGCTTATTAAATGGTGTGAAAGTCTATCAACAAACATTGTTTAATTAGTAGAAATCACCTTGTGCATTCGTTGTGCCTTTTCCCCAAACTAAAGGCATTATCCTTCATTCTGGATGTGAAAAATCATAGCCCATGTAGCAAAACACAGGCCTAATCCACAAAATGAAAACACAGATTTCTCTGATTTCACACCCTCAGTCTTCAAACTCAAGATCTGTTTCAATTGAACTAAGGGTAATTTAATAAACAGAAATAACAAATACCTTTAATAGCTGAAAAGAGGTTACTTTAACTAAAAAGCATGAAATGGATGGGGTACAATAGCCTGCAGGGTACTCTGAGGCTGGTAGGGGTTGTTCAAAGGAACAGTTATTTTCTAGCATTTCTTTTGATCCTTTTCTTTTTTTCTTTGCTTTATCAACTGATTTCTTGTGTTTTCTCTTGTCACTTTCCCTCTCTGAAAACCTTTCTGGTTACCAAGGAGTGTTCTTCCTGACACTTCTTTCCAGCTTGGCTTTCTAAAACCCAGTGTGGAGGCTGAGGTGTGGTCCTTGAGACCAAATTCTCCAAAGAAACTGAGAAGACCAGCACTCATTTAGCTATCTTTAGGTAGACAAAATCTATACTGAATTGATAAGGAGTATAAGCCCAGCTGGATGACAGTGAGTAAGTCATTTTAGATTGTCTGAAGGTTTGGATCCAGATTTCTGCATCAGGAATGACATTTTGGCTGTCTCGCCATACAATTCCCATAGGCTTAATTAAAACCAGAAAAGAAGTGTATTTCTGCTCATGAAACATACAGATACCTCTTAAATTGCTTTGCTTTTTGACAGCATTTCTAGCGGAGTTTTGGATGTAAGAACCCGTGCTACTTACTTGGTTTGATTTTGGGCCAGTCTGCTGCTTCTATTCTGTGGTCTTCATACTTCTTGCCCGAGTAGGCAAACAGGTAGCGGCTGATTTCTGCTCGCCCTCGCAGGTTGAAGTAAGTCAGCTTGTACTGTGACATGTTGGCTCCCTGGGAGGGGAGACACCGAGTGGCTTTAGACGGGAGTAACTCAACTCCTTTTTACAGAAGCACTCCTTACGCTTGTTTTCAAAAGACATTGCTTGTACAATGCAAAGGAAATATTACACCAAGCCATGGTGTGTTGTACTTTGTAATCATTGCATTACCCACACCTTTTTGTTCTGCATTTCTCATCCACAGCATGCAGACGTGCACAGTGACAGCTGAACCTGCAGTTCCTCCTTATGGATCTCTAGAAAGATGGCTTGATTTTTTTACAGACATATAAGGAATTTTCAGCTTTCGCTTATTTTTCTTATGACTCCAAACTCAGGCCATTTTTATAAAGTGGTTTTTTTCAGAGTGCAAATCTAAAATCATATACTGTAGCAGAAAAATTGCTGTCTCGAGCAGCAATTTTGTTCAAGTGTGCCCTGCTCAGTCCCTGTTGTTTATGGAGACCTTCATCCAAGGCCAAATAATGAGAATTGATAAACTGTTGTGGTTTTTCTCATTAATTAGTACCTTAGTTGTGTAGGTAGTTGACCAAAATTATTTTAGATGGAAATATTGCTATGGAAACCAGTCTACAGTGTTATTTTGAGTGAATCATCACCGAATTTCCAGTTTCTTGTACAGAAGCCAAGAGAAAATTTGAAATTACTTTGTTAGGTTTTCATGAGGTTTGGTTTTTTTTACTTCAGTTTAGTTAGACTGTTACTTCGTGTAACAGGAAGGTTCTATTTGTTTTTAAGTGTAACAGGCAGCAAAAGAAAGTATCTGGGAGTTTGATTGTACAGCAAGAATGGTTCAGGAAAGGTGAACATATAAGGTTGTTTTAAATCAAAAGTAAGCGTTTAAATTCTGCACACACTTTAATAAGAGAGAACTATGAGCTCAGCTGAGGTTTAAATGTGCTGGGGAAAGGATAGTAAAACAACCATCTGTCTCCTCACCCAAAGCAAAAACCTTTCTCCTTTAGGCCTTAAAGTAACCTTTGCATGTCATTTACCATTCTTTTATATCCATCAGAGTGCTAGTAAGATAGCATGCAACACAGATAACCTGCACTAGGACAGGAAGGGAACTCTTCCTTTTTTAGTGAGTGAATGCTACTGTATAACCTTGCAATAGAAACAACCAAGTGTTTAGTCATCTTCCCTTGAAAACATGCTTGAAGGCAGATGTGTCATCAGCTTTGGCTTTAGAAGGAAAATCTCCTTGCTCAGGAGGAGAAAGCTTGCCATTAACTCACATTGAAAGGAGCAAATTACTTTTGCCGCTTGCTCCTCAAAAGTCAAAACATCTACTTTCTCTCCTCAGAGTAACAAAAGCAGGAAAAAAAATCATACCAAAAGTGAAAGTTATCTGTTCCCCTACAACCCACAGCAGGCTTGGAAGAGATTATTAGTAAAAGGAGACCTTTCACATCTGATGGCCCAGTAGAGAAGCCAGAACAGAGACAGAGAGTTGCTAATGGAGATATCTACAAGTGCTTCAAAACAAAGACACCACTATAATTATTGTTTTTTAAGTCAACTGCTTTCCATTTGCACTGTGTAAAAGAGGGACGCTGCAGGCAAAATTAGTTGCATGGTTTAGGTAAGTGCCAACAGTATATTTTCAGATTTTGTGCCCAGATTTATTACTTTTTATGCTTTATTATGCTTATATAATATTATACTATATTTATGCAGGATGAGTTTGGATTATAGGTTTACAAAGTCAAAGTAAGAAGAGAGAATGAGATTGTGGGGGTTTTTTTCTTCTCATTTGTCCCTGCTTCTGATTTGGTGTGGTCACTTGAGAGCAAGGAATGGCATTTTAAAATGAAGATGTGTTATCTGAGATTCAAATTAGACATGACAGCGATTTGGGAGTAAAAGGGGAAAAAAGCCCATTTGATTCTTTTCAGGTTTTTTAGAGGCAAGCAAATACTGCTGATTCAGTCTACATTTGCAGAAGATACAACCTTTAACATACAAAATCCAGCGTCTGCTTCCCTTCTTTAGGTGTGTCTACAGAGCTTTTTTCATAAACATCCGTAGCAGTTCCAGTGCCCTGGACTTATTACACCACTCACACATGGCTGCAGTATCTTGGCTACCTCTGGCCCACTTAGCCCTGTGTTAGCAAAAAGTTGTTGGCAGCTGTAAGGCTTTTAAAAGCACAGAATCATAGATTTTAAGGTACAACCATGAGGAAGGGAGTAGACAGCTGTATACAGAACAGGCTGGAGATGACTGAGGCCTAACATTTCTGTAGGTGAGTGTGTTGAAAGAGTCTAATTCCTACTGTGGGAGAACTTTGTATACAAAGACTTGTCTATTCAGGAGTAGTGAGATGATATAAAGAAACAGGAATTTTGGCTGAAGATCAGGAAGTCTCTCTGGACTTTATAGTAGATTGTGGAATATTCTGGTCTGTCAAGGAAGCAGTGGAAACTATTGTTTGAATTGTCTGAAGCAAAGCTAAACAAATTTCTAATGAACACACCGTAAGGAGTAATCAAATATTTGTAGTGGTGATGCACTTTGAAGCTTATGAATTTTTTTCCATCCATGAACCACAAAAAAAACCAAAACAAAACCAATCCTACAAAGAGTTTACTAAAAATACTTGACATTTTAAAAGCCTTTATAGCTTTATTGTAAGCATGTTTTTGTAAATGTTTGTAGGTTTTATTTTTTATTTGTATTTATTGTGAAATGTCAGGAGTAGTGCTTCCTAAACAATTACAGACAAGCTTCTAAATGAAAGAAAAGGTAGTGTTCAGAATAGCTTTTTGTCAAACATACAAAGTAAGTTGGGTTTGGGTTTTTTCCCTTGTCCTCCTTTACCTCATTTTCACAGTGTGTTTTGTAAAGGAGTGGATCATAAGAAACAAATTAAAACCATTCAAAAAACATACAGAATTATTGAATAATTGAAAAATGTCATTTCCAGAGGAAAAAGGTCTATTCAAGGTCTTTGAGCTCATGCTCTGGGGTTGAGGTTTGTTTTGTGGTTGGTTTTTTCTTTTTTTTTTGGCGAGGGGAAGCAGTAAAATCTTTAAAACTATTTAAAATTATTTCTCTTTTTTTAGGCTAGTCATGGCTTAAAAATACTGGAAGATGTTGGTGATGGGTGGACCTCAGTGCCCAGACTTGCAGGCATTTATCCACCTGCTTAGCACTATTAAATCTCTTCAGGTGAGTTCGCTGCAAAGCCAAGTCTGTATAAATGCAGAAGGGGGCTGATTTACCTTTCACCAATAAACCTGCCATCTAAGCAGTGTTTCTTCACTTTCTAACTGATGAATGCACAGCTGGGATGCCCCTGTACACCTCCCCTGCCGTACACTGGCAGCATTTCAGTCCCAGTTCTATCGCATACAGCTTTCAAAGCTGTGAACTCAGTTGGTTTAAATTCACTATTAAATTAGCTTTAATACTTTAAAGTTGTTGACCCGCTTAGCTGATTTTCTAACTTTCCTCTGTGACTTTCTGAAAGCCAGCTTAACTGGCTTTAACATACCTTTAAACTGAAGATTAGTGGATCTCATGATTAAATTCAACTGTTGGAGCCACTCAGTGACAAAATCAAATGGGAAGTCTGAGAGAAGGTCAAATATGTGTAAAAGGTGGCATCCTCTGTGTTACTCATGAGTGAAAATTCAGGGTGGAGTTACAAGTGTCTAAGACACCTTAGGACAGATTTCAAATAATTTAAAACTGTTCGTGGCTTTATGGAGATACTGTATTACCTGATGAACTTGAGATGCTTTTATTCCAGTTGAAGCAGAACTGAATAATCAATTTGAAAACTTCAAGCAAGATTAGAGTGTAAAAACTGAGCCCAGGAAGAAATCAGTGTCATTCTCTGAGAAGTAAAATGCTGAGCTCCAGATAGCATTAGTAGAACAGAGAAAAAGTGCTGGCAGAATGAAAACTGCTCAGGATGAGTTTCAGGTGTGTGCCCCGTGCAACCCAGCACAGGCAGCCTCTGCTATCCAGAATTTGATTGTATGCCCAGCCTAAGCTGCTGCCTTATAAGTTTAAGCACCAAAACTCTGCTGGACTTAGTAGAGGAGCAGTGTTTCCTCTCTGTTCTGGAAAATCCAGCCCTTAAGGAAATGTTCTTCAGTTAATAACAGACACCTGGATTCAGATACTCAGTATGTGAATTCATAAAAATAATGAAAAAAAATCCCAAAACAAAACAAACAAACAAATAAAAAAACCCCAACAACCAAAGGCTGCACTTAATTACGTTTTCTTGTATAAGGTTATTAGTATTTGAGGTGACAAACAGGAGAGAACTTTCCCCGAGCTGGGGCCGGAGGGAGAGAAACCAGCTAAGTTGAGCTATGTGTTCACATCCACCCATAGTCTGACAAAGAACTTGTGGTGCAAAGTCCCCTTTAATTGTAATTTGCATGGCAAGAAATTAAGGGTTTTCATGCCTTAAGGTTTCATCATTGTTAGCGGATGTAAAAAAGCCCAGCTGTTCCCTTTAGCAAGTAAGACCAGCAGGATTGGTTAAGGTTCATCTGGGTGCTTCTAAAAATTTGGACTCTATTTGCCTGGAAGAGATGATGCATTGCCCTGTATTTATATTTATTTAACATGAGGGTTCTTCATTAATTTAGGAGTCACTGATGGAAAGCATTGAAGTTAGCACCTGACACAATGCTGCCCTGGCCGTGGGCCTGCCAAAGAGGGGAAGCTGGAGGTCTCAGCTGCCAAGTGTCATCATCCTCTCTTGAACTGCAACCAGCCCATGATGATGACTCAGTAGTGATGACTCAGTCAATGGATACCTTTATTGTATTGTAAGATTATTTTACTGTTTCTTTTATTGTAAGATTAAGCTGTTATATCAATTTGAATTGTTTGAGTTGCTGGAACTGATTATGTATTCCATTTTCATTATTTTATAGGATGAAAATATAACAACAAATCAGCTTCCACTCACGTAAGCCTACAGGTATCTTTCTGCCAAGAAACATCTTGCTTTATGAAATGTGAAATGGAGTTTGTGCCCTCTCTAAGCACTAAACTAGCTAAAGGTGAAAAGTTTCATGGACTTTTTTTTTTTTAGTGCTGTTTTCAAAACATTTTCTGCTTCCTTATGAGATGTTTCTGCAAAGTTGTCCTGAAAACCAAATGAGTAGGTTTGGAAGAGATGCAGACACAACTGCCTGATTTGGGTATCCTACTGGGGCGGAGGGGGCATTGCAATTTCACCCAATTCAGACATTAACTCATATATTTCTGTGATGTCCTAGATGTACAGTTTGAAGTCTTATAACCAGTATCAGCTGAATATTTTCCATTAATGGTAACACTGGGATTTCAGAGGGAAAACTATTCCCTCTCTTCCTTACTCCCAGTGACAGGGCCAAGCAGTGCTAATGTCAATCAAGAAACTCAATTTAGAAAAGAAAAAGAGAGGAGCTTGCTGGATCTATGCCTGTATATACAGACAAAAGAGTCTTTACGCATCGAAGGAGAGATTTTCTGTAGATTATTATCCAGGAGTGACCTATCTACGAATAAAACATGGATTTTTGGTCCTGATCCTTAGGGGTTGGGGAGGGTTGTGTTACTTACAGAGTACAAAAAAAGATTTTTTTAACCAGGAAAGTGACTTAGTCTGCCTTGTTTCACCTCAGAAACACTAGGAATATTAAGTTCAATTTTGCCTGTCTTGCTTAGTGTCCTTCTCATTTACGTGAAATCCTCACCCCTGTAATTTGAGAGCTGAGCATTAAAGCAGCTTTCTCCCTTCTCAATTTTAAAAAAAATTGCCTGTCGGAGTCTTTCTGCCTTCGTTTTTTTTAAATTTTCAGATTTCAGAGGAAGGAACCAGAGAGACAAGACTCAAATAATTACTGTAGAAGGCAAGTAAAGAAAAGCTTCCACAGCTATAACTTTATAAAATGCACTTTGCAGTTTTAGCAAGGTAGGAAAGATAGAAAGTGGCCATGTGCATCACTTTTTCCCTTTTATCTAACCAACCTAACATAATGGGTTTTGGGAAAGGCCTGTTTGGTTACGTTTTCCTGTTTGAGCAATGCTGAAAAGGCAGGAGCCAGCTGGGAAGCAGCCTTGCCCTGCCTGCAGACGTGGTGCTGCTCTACTTCTGGCTGCTGATCAAATTGGTTTCTGCAGAAATACCTTCAATTTTTTCCCTTGGTGAAAAGTTATTCTATATATTCATATTTTCTGTCTAAATTTTGAGCTGAAAGTACAAAGAGAAATAGTGATGTATTGATCCTTTTTGGAGTGGAAAGTTTGATGCAGAGAAATTGGCTCATGCCGGCAAGAATCAGCCATGGGATGGTCATTGGTCACTTTCTCACTCCTCATTTTTGAGGAAGGTTGACAAGTCTGCCCAGCAAATGCACTGGCTTAATCCAAGCTGTTTATCCGGATGTGAGTAATACTAAGACAATTAACTTCTGGCTTTTCCTGGGAAAAACTGAGAGGTATGTGATATGCTCCCTAACTGGGGAAGTTAATGACTTTGAGATTCTTGTTAAGAAACAGAGAATTAAAGGATCAGACAGTCCTCTCTTATTGCTCAGCAAAAAAGGAAAAATGCTCATTTTCCTTTCCTTGAACATAAACTTATTCAGCTTCTAACACAGAGTCAAAAATATTAGAGATTTAAGTGATACTTTCAGCCTTTGAAATCTAAAAATAGTAAGGATTTGATGATTTGTGGTGTTTTTTTAATTCTAAAAGATGTTTTTATTAATCCCTTTTTTAGCCAAGAAAATAAGACATTTTTTGCCTGTCTTTTGGGGGAGAAGGATTTGAGAATATAGGCAGGTTAATGGAAGAATACAAATCTTCTAGTGGAAGATTTCTATAGCCTGTTTTAACAGAGAATACAAGTAAAAACTCCAAGTAATTCTAAATATTTCCAGTCAGCTGTCAGTCTGACATAAACTCTTTTTCTGAAAAATGATGGTTTCTTTTCCCACTCCACACCAGTTATAGAAAATAAACATTTTAATTTGATCTCTTATTTTTTTATGCCACATACCAATCTGGACCTTGGAGAGAAAAGAGAAAAAAATCTGCACACCCTTTTCTGTACACAAATCAACTGAAGTAAATGTTTATGCAATTTGATGCAGGTTGAGTTTTGAAATAACAAATTCCAAATATAATGGTTGTGGCCTGATATTTTTTCATTACTTCAAGCATATATAGATATAAATTTTTTTTAGAAGGATTTTGCATGTCTTTACCCAATGTGCTGTTTATTTGTGACCTGTGGGGGTAATCAGCCTCCTGAAATGAGAAGTTTAAAAGCATTGGGATTATTGAGTAGTACTAATGATTATGAGTATGTTAAGTGACCTGATGAGTAAAAGTCTGCTGTGTGAGCAAGGCCTGATATGTCAATATGTGAGCTTAAGAGAAGGGGCTGTATGAGACATTAAAGAAATTACCTGCCTGAGGAAGCTGCAAGCTTGGTTTGATGATGTGAAAAATCAGAGCTCTAGAAAAATCCTTCAAGAACACAGGAAAAAAACCCACTTTTTTTTAATAGAGGTTTGGGGTTTTTTTAATTAAAAAAAAAAGCCACAATGTAGAGGAGGATAAGAAGAATACTTATTCTGAGAGAATTTTTTTGAAAGTGAGAGTCCACTCTGACTAGACAATGAATGGGTGTTCACTGCCAAGGCTGTTGTTGAAGGAGATCACCAGGGCCCACTGGGTTTCTCCAAGCTGACTTTGTAGCTGCTGCCCTTCATGTGATTGCCCCTCAGGCAACTGCAGTCAAACTGATAAGAATTGAGATATTTGAAGTTCACCCAGTTCATTTGAACTGAAGTGAGTGAGGGAGCTCCTACATGTCAGCAGGTGGAAGGAGGCAGGGTGGTGGTAACAGACAGGGATTCACTCAGCCACCTCGTCATTATGCTCCTTCTGCCTGACTTGCCAGGCTCTTCCTTTTAGGACCTGAGTACCTATGGCAACTTTGCTTTCTGTCTGATCCTCACTCTTTTGGTTTGCATCTACTTCTGTCCCAGATTTATGTAAATAACTTTTGAAATTGTTTTGTGCAGCCTCCAAAGCTGTAATGAACTTCAGATGAATAAATTGCACACCTGAGACCGTGAAATACTGGTAAATAAAACTGCAAGAGGAGAGATCTCAGAAAAGATGCAGACGAAGGAGTGGTTAGGATAATTTCTCAGGAGAAACTGTTTAAGTCTTCATTTCCTCATCAGGTGTTTTAAGAATTCCCTCAGGCATTTTGTGGTAGAACAAAAGCCTAAATAATCTTAATTCTTGCCAACACCAGTCATTCCTGTAAAATTCATGCCTTGCATCTGTCTCCGTAGGCTCCAGATGAATCAGCACCACTTCACAATATTCCTACAAAGTACAGAGCTCAACTGTGAGTGATGTTACTGTGTATTGAGTCGTTTAGTTGGCTCTCCAAAGGCAGCTGCTGGTTTTGCTAGGATAATTTCATGGCCATTTCCCAAGCTTTCAAGCTTGTCCAGCACAGTAATTTGTATAACAACTGTCTTAGCCACCTAATATCTTTCCTTGGATGCTAAAAAGGTTTTTTTTCTATCTCAGCCATGTCTGCATGTGTGGGTGCATATGTACAAGGGGAAGTGCAAATATCAAGTCCTTCCCCCTGCTAGTCTAAACTGTTTTGCTCTTGAACTGTTGCATATTGTGAACCCACTATACAATTTGCTAAAAATAAAATTACAGGTGTGAAAGAAAGAATTAGATAGGCTTTTAAGCACTGCGTATGATCCCTGTAGCCTGTACGGGTTTGACTGGGCAAGGTTTTATTCACTTCGTAGAGTTCTCCAGCACCCCCCACTATGTCTCCTGCTCACAAATTCCTGGTGTCCTCCTGCTCCGCCCTGGGATGTCTGGCACGTTGCCACCCTGCCCAGGAGGCACCAGCACAGTGGGCCAGGGCAGAGATTTCAAGTATTTTCAGATATTTTGGAATTGTTTTCTCAGGCAGAGTGAGCCTGAGGAGACCCAGAACCTTGCTAAAATGCTCTTCAGGTATTGCCAATCTTCTTGAGAGGACCAGCGCTGGGAAACATGGACCTACAGCTCTGCCCAACACTCAACCTAAAACCTGGAGACCACCTAGATTTGGCTGTAAGTGATAAACGTCCAAGACTCCATGAGTTACGGTCACAACCTGTTCGGTAAGTAAAACCCTAACCTATGTGTCCCCATGCTTAAGAAGAAAGTACTTTTTGAGCAGCAGTTTGCAGCCAATTTCAGCTTTGTTGATGGAAACACCAGGTAGAGTCTGGCTCTGGGGCAGTGCCCATTGCTGTGTGTTCCTGCTCTGCCCCAGAGTACCCTGACCCCCCCCGCAAAAAATGTGCTCATTTACCTGAGACACACCATTACAGAGGCTGGTGTCCCACATTTATTTTTTTACTGTTGTCAAACATCAACCAAAGAAAGCTTGCCAAACAGCTCAAACCATTGTTTTTCTGTATACCTTTCTTTGTTTGCCATCTGCTACCCAAAACCAAAGCATAATACAAAGACTGTCTGGTACCCCTGAATGCCCTTGTTTTCTCTCTTATTCCATTACATGCTTATGTTTTACTGAGTCATGCCAGCAACATTTTTAGTTCCTGCTAAAAAGATAAAAAATTAGCCATTTCATTTTTTTTCAAGTTCATCATTGTAGCTTTTTGGGGGAGGAGTTTTAGCAGATTGACTCGAGATAAGCAAGGTTCTTCAAAATGGTGGCCCTTTGAAACGTATATGTGGGATTTGGCAGATTTTTCTTTCCCTTTTTGTTTTTCTCCCCCTCTTGGACTGACTGTCAAAAGGGTAAAAAAATCACCTGTTTGAGATTTGCAGCATATGTAAGTCTTCAGCTGGTGTGAATAGCTTTCAGTGGCATGGCATACCCCTTGCTAGTCCAACACCAGCAGTATGTCAATGGCTCCTGGGCAGTTTAATTATTTTCTGGTGAGATTTTGATGAAAGATGTCTTGAAAGTGAGCACCAACTTCAATTACTTCTGCTTTCTAACTGCTCTGGAGAAGTTTGTGTGTGACAGACAGCAACCAGAAACCTTAAGAGCAAACCCTTAGAGCAGCAGAGCGTGTTTGTCAGTGGCACAGGAGTGTGCTGCACTGAAGGTGACTGGCTAACATGCTTGCCTGTGCACAAGCCCAGAACCCTAAGAATAACTGTGTACATTTTCAGCTTAAAATTTGGAGAGCTTCAGTTTCATTTCTATCCAAACAGATTTGATTGTGTGCCTGGGCATGTGTGCATCTACAGCAGTGAATAATTTACAGGATGTACCCATTTTTAGAGAGAGGTGGATTCTATTTTGGATTAAAGAAAACAAAAGAATAAACAAGAGTAAACTTGCGAAAGACCTCTATGGGGTTTTTTGTTTTGTTTTCTTTACAAACGTTGCAACTTTTGAGTATGAAAGTACTAGTGTTTACAAACAGTGCTAAGGAGTACAGAAGCCCAGGAAAGATAGTTTGTTTACTAGGATAGTTTGAGATGAGCAGTGAGCAAAAGATAGCTTTTAATAGAGGAAATGTGTGCAGGAGGATTATGGACACAGGCAAATTATAGCAGTTAGAATTTAAAGGGAAAAATTCTTAACAGCTATTCAGAGTATCATTTTGAAGTAAAGACAAAAATCAACAGCAAAAACCCCTGTGAGTTTTGATAAGAAGAAAAATGCAGACAGTGGAAGCAGACACATTCCTCTAGAGAATGATGGTGGGAATTAGGACTAGGTTATGTTAATCCATTGGTGAACCAAAATACAGGAATTTGAAAATGAACAGAACAGTGCACAAAAATGACCTAAAGGAATTGGTTAGTGCTGCTTAATATTCATCTAATTTCTCTGACATTAGCCTAGATTTGACTTGGTTATGTAAGTGAATGCATAGAAGTTAGCCTTTACCTCTAATGGAATATTGATTTAAAATAATTTTTCACTTACTGAAAACTTCCTGAAGAATGCCCAGAGCTTCCTCCCTCCAGCTTTTTGCTGATGAGGTTGTATTTTCTTTGGGAAGTACCCTGACACGCAGCCTGATTACCAGAGTAGCTCAGTACTGATTACATAAGGCACTGGTGAGAAACAGGGGCTTAATGTACCAACAGGCTACTGATCTGCCTTTTTGTCTCTAGAAAGCAGTTCATAATTTCTGGTAAAGTCTGATTTTTAGCAGTGCATGTGATTGTACAGATGTCTTAAATAAAGCAGGCAGTTGAAAGATGCCTAAAAGTAGCAAAGAAGGCATGTGGGTGAGGTACTTGAGTGATACTTACAGACACCCTGCAGTGCTCCTGGTTATCCCTCTCTATGCTGGTCGCACTACTCAGAGACTCATGCTGAATAAACCAAACAAAAATCTAAAAATTAAATACTCTCAGGACTTGCTCTACATGTAGCATAATCTGATGAAACTAACCCCCACACAGCCACTATAACAGTAGCCCTAGGAAGGGCAGAGTAGGATCAAAAGAAGAAAGGGGAAAGAGAAGAACCAGGCTGCAGCAGTAAGCGAAGCTGAAACAGAACTCACTCTGGTGCGGTGATACGTGGTCCCTTCCTCAGTGCACACGAGTCCCTCTGAGTGCTGACCTCGGTGGAAAAGGCTTTTATATGCTCAAGCACTGTTTATTAATATGCAAACCACTCCCCATGACAAGTATGCCTTCATTACTCACTCTCTCCCTCCTCTCATACACAGGCAGACACAGAGCAAATTCATCATTTTCTGAGATAACAAGCAAGTTTGATGACTTTTGGGACTAATACAGCAAATTGTGTGCTGGAGTTTTTCAGCCTGTGTTTAAAACAAGAAATACTTTAAAGTGCCATTTAAAAAATATATAATAATTATTAAAAATACAGGCACTGGTGAGCTGAGTCAGACGATGGGTGTTTTTTTTAAATGTAAGAAGTGTGGAACAAGCCAAGAAATGTCTTTCTTGGATTATTTCTAACTCATGTGAAGCCCCACAATATCTGATCTAATTCTAGAACAATGCCTTAAATAGCTGCAATCTCACTTTTACATAAAGAACAAAGTGTGATTTGAGTTGGTTTGGTTTTTTGTTTTGTTTTGGGTTTTTTTGTTATCAGTGAAGAAGGGTAAAGAGGATTCATGCAAGCTCTGTCCATGAGTAATGCACATTAGAAGTTAGGGGTCTGTGATGTTATTGCTTCTTATCTGTTGTGGATCTTGTACTTTTCTGTTTGTTTTCGTTTGTACTTTGGCATTAGCAAAGCCATTCAATGCTGCGGTACTTTGCTTTCCACTGAGCTTATGACCAGAACGCAGCAGCAATGGAGCAAGCTTTCTGATGCTAAAGAGCAAGGTCCGATGTGTACTACACAAGTCTGCTCTGAGGCCTCATTCATCTTTTATAAAAAACAGTTGTGGGTGTTCTCCACAGGTGCAGGGAGCAGTGCTGGCCAAAGCACTCTCCCTTAGGATGAGGACATGCCAGATCCTTGTAGCTCGCACCATTAATCATTTACCGCAGGTCGACTTGTTTCCATGTAATACATGTTTTTCCTGATGTCCACAGCTGACTTTTCAATCACCAGCAGCCTTTATAGCTAAGAGAAAATTTACAAAAAGAACCCCAGAGTGTCTTCCAATTGGGACTGGTGTAATCTGAGTGGTGAGCTAAATTGCTGAGGTTTACCTTAATGGTGGCATTCCATGCTTTTGGATTTACCTTTGCTGCAGACTTGTGATTTAATATTCCTTTTCTCCAGCATGTCAGCTTGGGAATGGTGGTTTCAAGTACATTACAAAAAGGGAAGTTTAAAGTGGTCTAAGTAATACCATATTTCCCCAGTTTTTAATTGTTGATTGTTGAATAAGCAACCTCTTTCAGGTACAAGAGTTCCTTCACTTGCAGAGAAGCAGTCTGAGATATTTTCCTCACATCATTAGCAGAAAACTGAAGGACTATTTATGGTGCTCAGGTAAATGGAATTTGAAACAAATTTATTTTACAAGTGTTTGCAAGATTTTGAGCCACTAAGAAGTTTTATTTATTTTAAGTTGGAGCAGAGTGTAGAACACATTGGTATGTTGTAGGATCTGGTTCTTATCCTTCTGAAAGGGAAGCAGAAAGTATTCTCCAGGAATTATTTTCAACAGACAGCAGTTTACTCCTACCCTGGCAAGGTTCCCAATGATGATACATGGTAAAGTATTAGTAAAAAACACTGGTAATCTAGCTTTTACTTTCGATGTGAGGTATCTAATGAGTTAAAACTGTAGCTTCAATCCAGAATTTCCTTCCATTGAGTTGGTATGGAGCACAAGAACTTCTTTGTGCTACAATTATACCTTCAATGACTGACAAGGTACCAAAAAACCCTTTTTCCCTTTGCTGTAGGAAATCTTTAATGTGGATCAGGAGGAAAAGGTGTCCAATCTGTGGCAGGACTGTGCTGAGACCAAATGTTTAACCTCCTGTTTTAAATGGGTAATTCAATCCCTGTCTGGTGGAAGGACCAAATTTTTAACTTCATATTTTGAATGGGTAACTCAGCCTCCATCTGGTGGAAGTTGGGCTCAGGCCATGCATCATGGGCAGGTGTTAATCCTTCCCCTCAGTGCTGCTCTGAGCACCTGAGGGCCTGGCAGGGAGTGTGGTTAGGCAAACAGTGAGACTTCCAGAGGCTGTGCTCAGGAGCACCTATTACTTAGGTGACTGCAGCTTTGTACAAGATCAGGAGGTTTCTTCTAAAGAAAAAGTAATTCTTCCTTTCTGGCAAATTCTGCTCAGTGCACATGTGAAAGATAAAATAAATTCCTGTGCTTTCTAAAATAGGAGGTGATACAAGTTTAAAATAATGGAGTTAGTGATACACTGAAATGCTTTAACCTTGGTTTCCTCTGTTGATATTTTCTTCCAGATTAAACTATCCCTTACTATCCCTTTTGGCCTGCAACTCCTGGTGCTGTCGTGAAAAATTTTCTGAACAGCCAGTTGTAAGCAGTCAGGCTGGGACTGTGTACCAGTCTGTTGCAGAAGGTTCTTTGCTTAAAGTGTCTTTCACCTCTGTCCAGCTTCTGGAAACTTCAGGGCTGGGAGAACAAACCAGTCAAAATCATGATGTATTAAACAAGTGTGTGTAAAACCTGGATGCAGAGACATCCATTCATATCTGACACCTCTCCCGCAAGCAGTGGCAGAGGCATTTGCATAGGAGGAGCTGTGGTGAAATGTCCCACAACTCAGCAGTTTGCCTTTTGACAATTTGCCCTTTGGTCATGGAGCAACATCCAGATTTCTCGTGGTCAGCCGAGCCCTGTGGACAGCTCTGCAGGCGTGTCTGGCGATTGTATGGAGTCACCAGGTCAGTTAAAGGATGTTTTCTGTGTATTTTATCCAGGGAAGCAAAGACATTAACTAAATGATACATCTCCTTTCTTGGTCAGCACAGCAGCTCTCCTCTTAGTTCAAAAGCCCTGGATAAATGCAGAGGAAGTCACTTGGATTAAATTTAAATCCAAGATTTAGTTCGGCAGATGTCCCTTTCAGAGCATTCACAGGCTATTAGGGGATCAGGACGCTGCAGGGCAGATCTCCTGCCCCGTGATTCCATAAGTGTTGTGGATCACTCTGGCTATTGACTTGTGACCAGATCTTTCCCACTTCTGTCACCGTTGCTGCTCCACCTTGCACCCCAGAATTAATAGTTAAGCAGAAGATTTGAAACAAGATGCAGTATCTCATGCTGTTGCCTATGTTTTGTTGTACATCTCTGTGGTGAGATAGCTTGCTTACTGTGTGTGCCAGTAAAAACATCTATGATTCCTGACGTCTTGCTTTGGGAACAACAAGAGCCCAGCTCACAGGAGCTGAAATGGGAGTAAGTACATGATCATGGTGCAGGATTTTCCCTGGATGGGAAATTCCAACCAGGCTTTTATGGTGAGTTGACTTTTGTACTGCACAAAACATGACCATCTTATTGAGACTGGTAACCCACAGTTAGTGCATTTATTTGTGTGTCCAGGAGAATAAATCTACTCAGGTCAGAAGTTTTATTATAAATTTAGATATAGTCATCGTGTTCCCTTCCTTAGAAATTTGCTCATTTCCTCACGCCATCCTTGCCTTTTTTTTTTTAAATTACAGTGCTATGCTGCTATTACGAACTTGAGCAATTAAGCATTTAGGATAATATAAAGGAAGTGAATAATTACAAGTTTTATAATTTTTAATCCTCTTCATGACAGATATTAGGCCTGTAAAATGTTAGACCTGCAAATGCAGCAAAGGCACTTGGCCTTTTACGTTTATATGTAATAGAGCTCAGCAATTTCCCTTCTCCTTTAGCAAGCAGTAAATTCAGCCAGAAAAAGACACCTTCAGACAGACCTAATGTTGGACCTCTGTAGCTTAAGTTTAGAAATACTTTTGATCAAGGAAGTGCTGTGGGAGAATTAAAAATACCAGGTATTTCTTTTTTTAAAAAAAGTTGGCACATTTGAACTTTTTATTAGTGTTCTCATTGGTTTTTTTCCTCATTTGAAAGATAACCATAAAAAAGGTTTAGTATATTTAAAAACACCACCTATGAGAAAACAAGCATGTTCCTACATGTGCAGCTTGCTTTGCTCGTGCATATTCCATTACTCTGTTTATGATATTTTGTAAAAAGTATGCAGAAGAGTCGTGAATGTATTTGAAAGAAATTATCCATTCTTAATCAAATATCCTTCTAGTGTTACTGTAGCTCTAGTAAAAGGCAATGTTTAATGATCAATAAGATCATTATACAAGCAGTAATGAGATTTCCTTTTGAAACAGAGCAGCTTAGAGAAGCAATCAGCTACAGACAAGCCTGCAATTTTGGGGTTTTAAGTTTAGCCGATAACATTTTTTTTCCTCTGCTTCTGGCAGCAGGGAGATTTTGTGTGTAGGAGAGTGAAAAGCATCAGCTGAAAGATTCATCTTCAAATTACTACATGGAGAGCAAAAGCCATAAAGAGCAGTCGGTTAGACACAGTTCTTCGTGTTCAGAAGTGATCTTTTAGCTTTATTCATAAATAGGAAAGTTCACAGGTGCAGTTGGTTTTATATGAAAGACCCTGATCCAAAGTCCACTGAAGCCAGCATAAGGACTTGTGCTAACTTGAGTGGGCTCTTGTCTCAGGTGCTGGTTTTGCAATTGAGAATTTTGGCAGGACCATAATGGCTCATTTAGTTGGAGCATTTGGAATTACCTTTCCTGGTGCATTTGCTTCAGCAATTCATGTAAGTTGTGCTCAGTCCTGAGCTAGCTAGCAGACTATTTGCTTTATCTTAGCACTTTTGTTTATGAGAAACTGGCCAAAGTAATAAAACCTAGTTACCATAGAGAATGCATTTATCCTAATAGCTTCTCTGACTTAGTGCAATGGAGTAAGGAGGAGCAATGATGCTCTTCCCAGCTCATAGGGAGTTACATGCACGCATGACATTTCAGCAAAAATTCTTGATGAGTAGCCAGAGGACCCATCGTCGTTCAGAAGATGCAGTTCAGCACAGAGATGCTGAATGGAGGTCCTTGGTAGGTCAGCAGATGACTGACTCATACCCGTTTG